TTTCAATAGAAGAATCTTTTGCCAAAAAGAATGTATGAATTTTAACATAGTGTAGAGTGAAACTATGGAATAAACTATAGGTTGATACCAGTCTGGTTGATACACAAGTACCTATCTTATCTTTCCAGAAGTCACGGTTTGGTACCGTCCCAGCTCTTCCAATCATCTAGAAAAAATACCAAAAAAGCAAAAAAAAAATGTTTACTTTTGTCTTTCGGAGACTCGGTTATCATGCTATTAAAGAATGCAAGATTTGTATTTTTCCAAAGAAATGGTAGATTGCAGAGAAAGGCACGCTTAAAAGTGGAAACTAAACAAGAAATTTAAGCAAAATCGGTGAACACTGAGCTAAAGCAAGTACGCCCACGGGATTCATACTACTTAAACCTCTCCCAATATATCAGGACAATAAAATGCATACGTCACTCTTCTTTAGGAAGGCTATATAAACCCTAGATTGGCACAAGATTTTATACAACACAACACATACATCAACATATTAACCATGAAGCTTCTTCATGGGCTCGCTTTAGTTTTTCTATTAGCTGCTGCGAGTTGCAAAGCTGATGAAGAAATTACTTGCGAAGAGAACAGTCCATTCACATGTGGTAACACTGATATACTAAGCAGTAAGAACTTCGAAAAAGACTTCATCTTCGGTGTTGCATCTTCTGCTTACCAGGCATGTAACAAATGTTGCCAAACTATACCTTTTCAAGTATAAATGCATACGATTCAAAGCACACTAATATCCAACTTTGCATTTTTTTGTTTCTTTTCATTTCAGATCGAAGGAGGGAGGGGTCGTGGTGTTAACGTTTGGGATGGCTTCAGTCACCGATACCCAGGTATATATGTCCCACGGTGACATATATATGAGATGAATATATTATCGGTTTATATGTACAAATATTAATGTATTTGTAATTACTATCAGAGAAATCAGGGTCAGATTTGCAGAACGGAGACACTACTTGTGAGTCATATACGAGATGGCAGGTTAATTCCTCAGTACAATATATATAGATACTCATGACTGAACTATGTATAAAAATTAGGTGTGCGTTGACATATGATTAAAATATGAAAACTGCAGAAAGATGTAGAAATTATGGGCGAACTCAATGCTACTGGCTACAGATTCTCCTTTGCGTGGTCAAGAATCATTCCAAGTATGTACACATTATCGATCAATGCATATATTTATATGTACGTAGTTTGTTTTTTAAAACCAATATATATAGTTGGAAGAGTTTTAATTGTACATTATATATACACGAGCAGAAGGAAAAAGGAGTAGGGGAGTGAACAAGGGAGGTATTGATTACTACCACAAACTCATAGACGCCCTCCTAGAGAGGAATATAACACCTTTCGTTACCCTCTTTCACTGGGACCTTCCTCAAACACTCCAAGATGAGTATGAAGGTTTCTTGGACCGTCAGATCATGTATGTGCCATGCTTCTTTTAGATAAAGAGATTATATATTATTAAAAAAAAATAAGAAGCAGATTTAGTCTTAATTACATGAACTACAGTAGTGATTATATATTAATATGCACAGACAAGATTTCAAAGATTACGCGGATCTATGTTTCCAAGAGTTTGGCAAAAAGGTGAAGCACTGGATCACAATCAACCAGCTATACACAGTGCCTACGAGAGGCTATGCGATCGGAACAGATGCACCCGGTCGATGTTCTCCTATGGTTGATACCAAGCAGAGGTGTTACGGCGGAAACTCTTCAACGGAACCCTATATCGTTGCACATAACCAGCTTCTTGCTCATGCCACGGTAGTCGATCTTTACAGGAAGAACTATGCGGTGAGTAGTCTCCATATGTGAAAAGTGGTGTAAATCTAACATATTTGATTCTAATTTACTCATAAATCATGTGAACAACAGTCCCAAAATGGGAAGATCGGACCAGTGATGATAACTAGAGGGTTTCTTCCATATGATGAGCTTGATCCTGCTTGCATAGAAGCAACTGAGAGGATGAACGAGTTCTTCCATGGATGGTATATCTATTTTATTTGACATCAAACAATTATTCTATTACTAACTAGAATAATTATATTGTATGTATGTATAATGAAAAAAATATATACATCGTTCAGGTACATGGAACCCCTAACAAAGGGTAGATACCCAGCCATCATGAGGAAGATTGTGGGTAGTCGGCTTCCCAAGTTCAACAAAACTGAAGCCAAACTCGTTGCCGGTTCATATGATTTTCTTGGTCTCAACTATTACGTCACTCAGTATGCCCAGCCAAAAGCTAACCCATTACAGTCAGAGAAACACACTGCCATGATGGACGCTGGCGTAGGACTCACATGTACCACTCTGTTTCCACTTGTTACAACCTCATTTCTATATATTATACTTTTTGTTACAACATACTTACTTTGTGATTGACCATCAGTTATTTCATTCTTGTGTTTACAGATGATAACTCACGTGGGGAATTCATTGGTCCTCTGGTACATATATGCATGTCCACCCTTATGATTTCTCTTTCATTATTGTATCTTCTTTTTCTAGTTGTAGCGTAATTGTAACACCCACAGTAACTTTTTTTTTTTTTCTGATTGATATGTATATTTTGTTTTCTTCCGTTTCTTAGTTCGTTGAAGACAAAGCAGGCGGCAGCAGTTATTACTACCCGAAAGGGATATATAACGTAATGGACTACTTCAAAACCAAATACGACAACCCTTTAATCTATGTCACGGAGAACGGTGAGTTCTAAGTATTACTACTCATCTCTTTTCATCTATAATACATATCATCAGATAATTAGTGTATTTTGATATGAGTCCAAAAAACTGACTTTCAAATTGTGTGATATATTTTTCATGTTATGGCGGTTTAAATAGGATTTAGTACACCAAGTTCAGAAGACCGTTGCCAAGCTATTGCCGATTACAAGCGAATTGATTATCTCTGCAGTCATCTATGTTTTCTCCGTAAGGTCATCAAGTAAGTGGATGTTACTATACATGCTTTTCTTCCAATATTTATCTTCTTTTTAAGTAATATTTACATATATATGATTGTTATTGTTTTCAGGGA